GTTTATCCGAAACAAACCGGTTCAATAGGTAAATGAAATGTACAAGTAAACCATGTACATTGTACCAACAATAAACCAATAGAGCACCTCCAATATATGTATTATATGTTATATATATATACTAGGATAAGGCGCATGATGTGTGTATGTAACTAAAATATAAAACTTTAGTATTGACAAATTTAAAATTTACATATGATTATTTTTATAAGTATTTACAATTTTAGATCTTTTATATAATTATCCATACGTAAGATCAGAAACAATTGTAGTTAGAACTGTAGATCAAAACTTAGAAATTAATGGATCCGGTTCATATATTTTTTTACTTTTCAATGTTCGAGTGATGAAAAATAAACGAAGTGTCACATGACTTAATTGGTAGAGCATTATCAAGTTCTCTAATGCTTTCTTAAGAAGCAGTTGGTAGAATATTTGTATTTAGAATATATAAAGTTTAAAAATTAATTAATTATAATTTATTTATTTAATTTTTCTAATAATATCAGAAAATTATATTTGTAAAAATAATTTTTAAATAAAAAATAATTTTATAAAAAATTAAGTTAAATTTTAAATTATAATTATGTTTAAAATAAAATTATTTATTCATACGATATGAGATATATATATATATATAAATAAATATATATAAATATATTAACATAATCACCTATTAAAATAAAATTATTTATCATATGATATTATAATCATAATAATTTATTATAGAAAAAAATTAGACCTTGATCACAAAATTTTATGTGAGATTTTTAACATTTTTAGTAATTTATATTCGTTTGGAAAATTTAAAAATACAACATATATAAAAAAATCTAAGTTTTTATTATATATAGGATTAGTGTAGTTGTGTAATTTATTTTAATAATAAAAAAATGATATAAATTATATAGATTGTTAACAAATCTTTATTATTTAAAATCATTAATAATCATATAAATGTTAATCACATTAGGTAATTCCGTAGGTTTTATTTAAGGAAATAATATATAGAAGATTTAGTTTGATATGTTATTTAGTTTAATGTCTTATATGAGACCAACGAACCTTATTTTAAAACTATGTTTTATATAAGGTGCTCTAGAATCATTATAAACTGAAATAGAAGACATGGAGATGTGCCATGTAGGATATTGTTATTTTTTAATTAATACAAACTTAAGGTTACAACTTTTCAAATGTTTTTCAATTAATATATAGGGGATCTATTATACATATATATATAGAACACATATATTAAGAACTCCAATGGAATAAACCTTTAAAGGAAGTGCTTTTATATCTTTATCTTGAATATGTCATTTCAAATTCAAGGGTGTTGACACAGAGAAATAATCTGTAGCACCCCTGGATCATTTTTTAAAGCTATTATCTCTTCGCTATAACTCTATTTCCATTTATAATTATTTTTAAATCGAGAAATAAGTGAAGTACCAAAAAACTATGGAAAGTGACGATATTTATAAATAAAATCAGGGTCAAACCCACCCATCCAATTAGCCATTGGATCCAAATACATTAACCAAGATAAACCAACCAAACTCTTAAAAAAATGTGATTTGTAATTGCGTGACACTAGAAACGATTAATCTCCTCTTTCTCCTCTCAATTTCCCTTATTTTACTATCTTTCGAGGTTTCAACTCTCTCATATCTTGATCTCTATCTCTCTCACGAAACTAGGAAAACTAAGGGGAAAAGCAAACGATCCCACCAACCACAACGACCGAGAGGTAAGGTTCTTCTCTTGACTATTTCAGTTTAGGTTTTCAATTAGTACTATTTCAATTAGTTGTAACCCATAAATCTCGCGATATTTTTAGTCGATTTGTTCTCTTCTCATTATGTCTCTCTCGATTTGGTCTCATTCACGATTTTGTCTCATTCAGTCATTCTCATCGCAGGAAGTGAAAATGGTGAAGACACAATGGACTATGAAAAAGAAGTCGAGAACGAGACCACTAAAGGATATAACTTCTCCTTTAATAGAAGTTCCACATGGAGATATCGTTCCATATGTTGCGGATGAGATTCCAAAGTCAGTTGAGAAAGAGAAGGAGAACGAGGATAACCCTGTTGTAGATGGAGAGAAACAGAAAGAGAGGATAACTCTATTGTAGTGGAGAGAAAGAGAAGGACTAGGAGGAAAACCCAGTTATAGATGAAGAGAAAGAGAAGAGAACGAGAACGAGGACAACCTTGTTGAAGATGAAGAGAACGTGAGCGAGAAGGAGCCGAACGAGGTTGAAAATGAAGTAGAAGAGAGGTCAGAAGATGAAGAGGCGAACTTGGATGAAAATGAAGTAGAAGAAAATGAAATCTCAGGAGAAGATGAGGAAGAGAGGTCAGAGGAAGAAGAGGCAAATCCGCATGAAAGTGAAGTAGATGAGAACTGTGGAGAAGAGGAAAAGAGGTCAAGAGGCGAATTGTGAGAATAATTCTCTTGGTGAAAATCTGCAGAGCAATGAAGAAGATAGAGAAGAAGGAAGTACCAATCCAACCTTAAGCGATGTTAGTAGAAATACTGCTTTGTCTCATAGTTTCAGAAAACAATTTGGTCGAACTAAGGATAACTGGTTTGTTTGTGATAAGATGAAATGATAATGTTTGATCTTATTTAGTAATTGACGGGTGTTACTGATTTTTTGATGGTTTGGTGTAGAGTAGCTTAAACCCTAAAGGCTGTTATCTTGTATAACTAAGTATAACTAAGCAAAAATAAGTAAAACTAAGTAAAATTATGTATAACTAAGTAAAACTATGTATAACTAAGTATAACTAAACGACAGTGGTTGTTGTTTGTTTGCAATATTCCGTTGAAGAGGCGCTGGAGGCGATAAAATCGTTGGGCATGTACTTCCCACTGTCTGAGTATATAAAGAAGATCAAGATATTGACAAGGTGTATATTTGCTGATGTAATGAAAACCCTAAAGGAATTACATCCTCCGATGAGTCCGCTAGAGAAGAGTTGGTTTGAGAATCATCCGCACTTCAAACACATATTCCACATGCCACAGGATGGAAACCACAAGGTAATGGGGATGTGGATGCTCCTTCTCCGAAACGTACGCATAGTAAAGGAAAAAGAGGCATGGTTTTGCAGTGAATGGTTATCCCATCCGCTATGGTATTAGAGAACATGCTTTGATATCTGGATTGAACTGTCAAAACTATCCACTGAACTACAAGCTATTAGGAGGCACGAACTTTGTGATGAAATATTTGGCCATCGACAGTAAGGTATCAAGACGTGATAGCAAAGGTTCATGAGGGAATGAAACCTTCTCGTGATAGGTTAAGGCTGCTGGTCTATCGAGTATTATACTTGGACAAAGAAGGGCCGGTGAAGATGCCCCTCCCGTGGAGCCATTCTTTCTGAGAGTAATTGATAATCTCAAATTATGTAAAACATTTACTTGGGGTAAATTGTCCTTTGATTACATGTTGAAACAAATTTCTAACACAATGAGCCATTTTGATGGAGGTGTGAAGGTGTGATATGGCCAGTACTCGGATTCTGTATTTTAATGGAGGTAAGTATATATGACTCGTATGTGTTTAATGCTTATGGAACGTATGATATTGACACTGGAGAGGTATTTTTACATGTGTAGCTCCTAGAGTTTGAGGCCATTTAGAAATTGGGGGCCAAATTCCGAGAGTCAGTGGAAGACGTAGACCCTACTTGTCCACGGATGTGTTGATCAAAGTTCAAGAGAAGTGAAATAAAGAGATTTCAGCTATCAAAAATAAATAAAGAACTCGGTAATACTAAGGTTGGTTGTCCTATGTATCCAAATATTTTAGACGACATGTTATGCTATGGAAGTTTTAATAAGGTGACACTGCAGGACATTGAGAACATCTTGTCTTGTACCGACGAGGAAGAGACCCTACTAGATCGGATAACAGAACCAGAGGACATCAGAGATAAGGATGACGTGGTTGTGGAGAACTGGATGAAGAGGTTGGGTAGTAGTTATGTTGTAAGGTTTGAAGATATGTTTGAGGAAAATGTGGCTGCCAGAGAAGCCCCTCCCCCTCAGAATGGTGGAGACGAGACATAAGCCACCAATGAAGCAGCATGGAACACCGTGAAGCTAAATGAACTAGTAGAAATCATTAACAGCTTCAAAGAAGATATTGGAGGGCGTCTGACGAGGATTGAGGAGAAGGTTGGAGAGATTGACTTAAGACTCACTACATCATAAGCTTTTGTTCAAGAGCTGTTAGATGCTAAGAATTCGGATGCGGATATGGAGGAGGAAGAGGACATCTCGTAGAGGGCAAGAAAGATTTCAAAGGACATCTCGAAGAGGGCAAAGAAGAAATCAAAGAAAAACTGATCAACTGCTTTCGGTGTATTATAAACTTATGTTGGTTTGGGTGTGTTATAAACTTGTGTTTGTTAGGTGTGTTGTAAAACATATGTTGCTTTTGGTTTGTACTAAAACTTCTGATGCTTTTGGTTTGTACTAAAAGTAAAACTTACGTTCCGTTTGGAATTAGGTGAAAGTAGAGATCTCATGAAAGTAGTAAAAATAAACAGAAACTCAACTTATGTTGATTTTGGCTTGGTACAAATAAATTAACTGGATTAATTAAAAGAACTCGAAACAAACCATCTCTATCTCCTCTTCCTACAATCTCTAATAAATATGAAATATTTCTCAATAAATATCATCTTCTTCTTCACCTTTTTGATACCTTCTCTCTCCTCCTCCTCCTCTCTCTGTTCTTCTTTTTGATCGATTTTTCTTGCTACTCTCAGACCTAAACAGTTGAATATGGAAGTGGGCTCATGATCTTCATCTAGGAGCCACAATTCTGGTCGGAGATGGTGTCACTGTGTCATATTGGCGACGATAACGCAAGTTTGGACTGAAAAAACCTAGGGAGGCGATTTTATGGTTATCCGCGTTATAAGATATGACAATTGAAGAGTTTAAGTAGTGATTCAGATGTGAAATGTAGATTATAAATGGAATTTGTTCCTTGCGACAGCTTGGAAATTAATGCAAGTACTTCTCTTGGTTTGATGAAGAGGAAGGTACAAAATGACAAAAAAGCTTTGATTGAAGCTCGTGATGAAATCCAGGAGAAGAATAGAGAGATTGAGCAGTTGAACAAGACCATTTTACAAATGAGACGCAATTTGGAGAAGAAACAAATGGTGACAGTGAATAAAGAAAATGAAGATGAAATACTTGGGAAGCTTGAAGAATTCTATGTTTAAAATATTTTGATCTTATGTCTGATCTCGTTTCTCTTTTGGAACTTATGTATGATATGGCTAACTATGGTATTACTATCAGTAACTATAGTATTACTACCAAAAACTAGTATAACAACGGATAACTAACACATAATTCTTATTAAACTGAACATAAGTCTTAACACAACATGACAAAGTGACATAATCAAAACAACATAAGTCTTAAAATGCAGAAACGCATACAAGTCTTGTTTTAACCAAAAATCAAAAGAAACGAGAGACAAACAAATACTTATTTGGGAATGAGCTTTTTGAGCTGAGCTATCTCTGCAGCCATTTCGTCCACCTCCTTTCTTAAGCGGCGAATCTCTTCCTGAACTCTATTAACCCATGATTGACGGAAGTGGAGACCATCATCCTGCCAGTTTCACATAGATGTAAAAAGTTAAACAATAAAAAGTACATAGTTTCACATAGTTGCACTAATTCAAATTACATTGAACTCGTTGCAAGTGAAGTACATCCGGTTTGGTAACCAATCCTTATCTTTTGGATTAGTAGAAACCTCGTCGACGATTCGTCCCCCACATGGGCAGGAAGATGGAATCCCTTACTGAGCATCACAAACAAAGTGAAGCATGTCGTAGTGTTCTTTCACCTTCTTCATCTCCCTCCTTTCTTGTTTCTCAACCCATGGATCCATTTTCTGTTCGGATTTGAGAGAATTTGAGTGAATTTGAAGGTTTTTCGAGAGAGGGATGAAAAAGAAAGATGATAGAGAGACAAAGGTGATAGAGAGAGATGTGTGGTTAATGAGATGATAGAAAGGGATGTGTGGTGAATGAGAGGTGAGAGAGAGATAGTCGACAGGGAGAATCTATTTTTTTCCATCGAAAATTGCGTATCGACTCACGAGTTTTTAGAAAGCCTGCCTAAACAATACTGGTAGTTCTCCCCAAGATAATGGTTCTACAGAAATTACAAATAGTTGTACTCCCAGTGATTTAGCATAATTTTAGTATTAAATGTAATTATATTTTGTTTTCTTAGTTTTACAATGATATATAACATTTAAGAATTTTATTATTGGTGTTTAGCGTAATCAAAGTGTGCATAAAAGTTGTATAACAAAATGTAATTTTCAGTAGTCAAATATTTTACAAAGTGACTACAAAAGTGTATATAGTATGCTGGGTTGTTTTTGATTGTTGGATATAACATTTTTCTTATTCTGTTGAATTCTTCTTTTGATTGTAGAGTATATCATTTTCTTATAATGATGTAACATTGTTCTGTTGATTTCATATAATGATGTAAATTCACACTCAATTCGAATTTCAGTTTGAGAAAGTTATACTAGTATTACAAAAGTTTAAATACAGTTCTACATAGGTTTACAAAGTTATACTAGTATTACACAAACTAAAACACAGTTCTACTCAGCTTTACAAAGTTATACTAGTATTACACAAACTAAAACACAGTTCTACTTAGGTTTACAGAGTTATACTTGTATTACACAGAGTAAAATTCAAACATTTTGATTTCCAAATAGCAACCATTGTAGGTTTTATCTTGGACGCCTATTATTTTGTCTCTTAGCTGACGCTCTGATAAGGGGTTTTAATCCTCAAGCAAATCAATGTAGTAAAGATAGGGTGTCAAACCAATCCGGAGTTGTACTAAGCATAGAGAAATACAAGACATAGCCTAATCTAAATGCAACCAGTTGAGTTTTTATAGTGATCAAGTAAAAAAGTAAATTAACTAAGCAAGTAAGTAAAATGGATTCAATCAAGTGATAAAGCAGAACCCATGGGCAAGGGTATTGATTTGAGGTTACTAGGATTCTATCTAGAGAGATAAATCAAGCAATCACATGTTCTATAAGTCTAGACACTTTCCTAAACAAACTCTTAGTCAAGATGGATGTTCATTTGTTTTCTATTTTTAGACATCAAATGTAATTGGTCTAAATCAATCAAAAAATCATTAAGGACTAGTCTACTAACTACCTAGGCTTCCCTAACATCAAGTGTCCTTGTTTAAACAAGCTTAGAGAAATAATACTTCATTCAGACATTTCATCATACACCTTGTGGGCATGAAATATCTATTAATCAATCCTAGAATGATCAAGTGTAGAATAGCATTAAACTCAAGTAATATACATAGAACAAGATGGAGCTAACAATAAACTCTCTAGATCATCTCCTAATCACCCAAGCCCATAAGCTTTAAAGGAGTCTACTCACTAATCACCATGTTTATCCTTAAACCTATGATAGATTTAAGACTAACCATGTTTTTGAGGTGATTAAGACTCAGATTTACACAAGAAAAAGAGATTAAGATAATAAAGATTCAAGCTTTCACCAAAGTTTTGTTCTTAGGAGGTTCAACAAAAGATAAAGATCCCAAAATGAGATTACAAGAATATTTATAGTGGCTTAGAATACCTAAAAATAAAAAAATTAAAATGACCAAAAGGTCCTTAGGAATGCTAGATTTTCAACCAAAGCCCATACTTGGGTAAGGACCACTCGTCCAATACGGGTGGGACGACCCGGGTAACTCCTCCGGTTCTTCTTCAAGCTTGGGCGAGCGGGCTTCCTAACCCGGGTGACTCGAACAGCTTCTCTTCATGCCCGGGCGAGCAGGCATCCTAACCCGGGTGGCACGACCCATGTGACTCCTCTTGTTCTCTTCAGGTCTTGGACGAGCGGGCCTCCTAACCCGGGTGGCACGACCTGGGTGACTCCTCTTGTTCCTCTTCAGGTCTTGGACGAGCGGGCCTCCTAACCCGGGTGGCTCAACCCGGATGTCTCGACCATTTTCTTGATTTCAATGTATTGTCTTGGCCAAATTTCATTTTTTCACTTCTTTTTAGTTCACAAAGCTCCCAAACTTCTCAAAACACTCCATATCATACTCCAGCACCTGATTAGGACAAATGAATGCAATATGGACCTAAAGATGCCTAATTCCTAATCTATATGATCAAAAATGCACAAGTCATGAAAGCTAAAAACATGTAAATGTACAAGATATCAACTCCCCACACTAGCCCTTTACTTGTCCGCAAGTAAACTTTCAAGAACTAAGGATGAGAAGTTTGAAGGTGGGGGCTCATAACCAAAAGAAACTCTTCTTAGTTCTCAATCTAATAACCTTACATAATCATACCAACTAGCAAGAGCAAAGACTTTATCCATCTCTTACTTAACTAGGCATATCTTAAATCTTTTGATCTCTTCACTCATTTTCATAAATCCACAACCACAAATCCACCAACTCTCCACCAGCAAAATCAACAGAAATCTTGCAAATGGTCAAGTGGTCCAAGTCATTTGGTTTGGTAAGAAAAGGTTTCAGTGTTAAGTTAAGCAAGGGGTTTCAAGACAATATTTAAAGGTGGTTACTCTCAAAACAAGTAGCTTTGACATTACACATAATATATCTAAGAAATTCTTGGGGTCAAAATCGGTACGACGGAATCAACGGCCAAAACTCCCCGCAGAAAATATAAAAGAAATCGTTTTATAAAACTCAAAGGATCATTTTATAAAACTCGAAAATCATTTTATAAAACTCGAGAATCGTTTTATAAAACTCGAGAATCGTTTTATAAAACTCGAGAATCGTTTTATAAAACTTGAAGAATCGTTTTATAAAACTCGAAGAATCATTTTATAAAACCCGAGAATCGTTTTATAAAATTCGAGAATCGTTTTATAAAATAAAACTTGAAGAATCGTTTTATAAAACTAAAGGAATCGTTTTATAAAACTCGAAGAATCGTTTTATAAAACTCGAAGAATCGTATTATAAAACTCGAAGAATCGTTTTAAAAAACTCGAAGAATCGTTTATAAAACTCGAAGAATCGTTTATAAAACTCGAAGAATCGTTTTATAAAACTCGAAGAATCATTTTATAAAACTCGAAGAATTGTTTTATAAAACTCGAAGAATCGTTTTATAAAACTCGAGAATCGTTTTATAAAACTCGAATCGTTTTATAAAACTTGAAGAATCGTTTTATAAAACTCGAAGAATCGTTTTATAAAACTCGAGAATCTTTTTATAAAACTCGAGAATCGTTTTATAAAACTTGAAGAATTGTTCTATAAAACTCGAAGAATCGTTTTATAAAACTCGAAGAATCGTTTTATAAAACTCAAAAAATCGTTGTATAAAACTCGGGAATCATTTTATAAAACTCGAAGAATCATTTTATAGAACTCGAAGAATCGTTTTAAAAAACTCAAAGAACCATTTTACAAAACCGCGAAAAACCGAAACGCCGTAAAACGCGAACTAGCCCCGTCCCGGCTAGATCACCCAATGGCGAACTAAGCCAAGCCGGCTTAGTTCGCCGTTGGGCGAACTAGCCACATCCCGGCTAGTTCACCCAACGGCGAACTAGCCTCGTCCCGGCTAGTTCTCCGTTGGGCGAACTAGAAGCCCCCCAGACAGTCCACTGGCCGGCAAGTCGGACCGGTCCAGCACGGTTTGCCGTACGTCGAATCGACCATTCTGAGCCTCGATCTCCCGTATCCCCGATTCAGTGCTTACGACCTCCGACACGGTCATGCTCCGAACAATGTTCAAAATGTCTCCCGTTTCGTCTCGATCCGACCTATCGTTTGAGTTTTATGATAAAAAACGTAAAACTTTTTTTTACGGGAAGAACTCGAGGAAATCGTATAAAACGGCAACGGTTAAACGAAACACCGAACATTGCCTAAACTATACGATTTATTCGATATTTTTCGTTAAAATCATAAAAATGCGTTTTTAATAAAAAAACACCGAGAAAATCGTAAAAAATGGCGACGGATAACCAAAAAACGAACGTAGCTTAATTTTACGATTAACTCGGGGAATTTACTAAAAACGGCATCGGATCGAGAAACGATCTCGTATAAAGTCGTAAAACGGTTTTTATCGTAAAACGGCCCGAAAGATCCTAAAACGCGATAAAAACCCATCTTGCGATATTAACGAAATCTAACCCGAA